TATATATATATATATATATATATATATATATATATATATATATATATAACACTTTTATGAAATATTTTAATGAATCATAATGCATTTTCTGTTTACAGAATACTTACACAAACGCAACGAAGCTTCTAACCGCTGCCGAGGAGCTCGCTCACACGGGAGAATGTGCTCCCGATGAAATATACGCGGTGGCGCAAGAATTAGAAGCTCACGTTAGTAGTTTCGCAGCAAGGGTCGAGCAGCGACGTCGCAGATTAGATCTGGCAGTGGTGTTTTACACTCACGAGAAGGAGGTATTTTTATACTCATTGATTGTGCTATGTAGGGTGTTTACAGCGAGCACGACAGCCTATTATAATAACGTGTAGATATATACGCGTGCCGCTGGTGCCATTTTTAATATAGTTTCACTTCGCAGCTCACTGGATGGGTAGATGAATTACGTCAAGAAATGCAACAAGACGAAGTCGCAGAAAATCTAGAGACAGCGGAAAGACTGCTGGAACAATGTGCGCAGCACAGGTCATCTTGTCTGGAGGCGTGCGCTTCGACAATAGCTCAGGGCGAAGCTTTACTGCAGGAGCTTCGCGAGGCAACCGACGCTCCTGATACTACTGGCTCAATATCGGCAATAGAAACAGCCTTGGACCGATTAGCGGGTTTGAGACAGGAATTGGAAGACCTATGGGCCACCAGAAAGCTGAGACTAGAACTGTGTCTGCGATTGCGCGTCTTCGAACGAGACGCACTGGAGGCGAGTGGTCAACTGGAAATGTGGGCGCAGGAGTTGCAAGGTCCACCGCGAGAAGGATCGCCCGAGCAGCTGCTGCGCGTACATAACGACGGAGTCGCTCATATGCAGAATACGGCGTTTCAAGTTCTACATCGCGGTCAGGAATTAGCACAGGTGTTGGAGGAAGCAGGAGTGTGTATTATGGCGGACGGTCAACATAGTGCTGCGGCGCGGGTACAGGTGCTGCTCGAGTTTTTGAATGAGAGAGAATTGGATGCGGAGGACCTCGCAGAGATGCGAAGAGTACGATTGGAGCAGGCTTCCCAATTAGTACAATTGCAGACGGACGCTTCTCACGTGGCCAAGTGGATACGGAACGGAGAATCGATGTTGTTAGCCTCGTTGAGGGTGCCGGAGAATCTTCAAGACGCCGAGCAGCTACGATTGGAGCACGATCAGTTTCAAGTAGCGATAGAAAAGACTCACACTTCCGCCGTGCAAGTCAAGCACAGAGCGGATGCTCTGGTGAGTGCGAATCATTACGATCCGAAGAGTATCAGGGAGGTTGCGGAGGATGTTACTAAACGGTGGCAGCAACTAGTAACTTGTGCGGAGGAACGGCATAAATTAGTTACCGCCAGTATAAATTTTTACAAAACGGCGGAGCAGGTGCGCTCGGTACTCGATAGTTTGGAGCGCGAGTACAAGAGGGATGAAGATTGGTGTGCCGCCGGTGAAAAGGGTGCCCAAGTGCCGACATTACTTGGCAAGCATCAAGAGCAGAAGGAAGCTTTTCTGAAGGCGTGCACATTGGTACGGCGAACCGCGGAGACGTTCTTAAAGTACACTAATCGTAGTCTGCAATTTTATAGCTATCAGGCTAACAGCGCCGGTTCCGAGAATAAAGTCAAAAATATTTTGGAAGAGTTGCTCAGCAAGGAAAACAAAGTGCTCGAATATTGGACTCAGCGTAAGAAGCGCTTGGATCATTGTCAACAGTATGTTTTGTTCGAACGGAGCGCGAAACAAGCTCTCGAGTGGATAAGAGAGACCGGGGAGTTGTACCTCGCCACGCACACCAACGTCGGCAAGAATCGCATTGAGAACGAACAGTTATTGCAAGAGCACAACGAGTTCAAGGGTGCTGCGAGGGAAACTAGGGAGAAAGTGAAATTGATCATCCAGCTGGCTGACAACTTGGTCGACAAAGGTCATGCTCATTCCGCGGCGATTAAGCAGTTCGTTGCCGAGGTGGATCAACGATATAAAGACTTTAGTGCGCGAATGGACTGCTACAAGACGCAAATTGAAGGTGATTTGGGTATCCAATCCGATGAGGGGCATAAGGATCTCTCTATCGACCGGAATTCCGACCCGTTATTAGAAGAGAAAATCAAGGGTAAAGATCTGAAAGAATTGAACGAGGAGAAAAGAAGATCTGCACGCAGGAAGGAGTTTATTATGGCTGAACTCTTGCAAACCGAACGTACTTACGTGAAAGATCTGGAAACATGTATTCGTTGTTTCCTGGACGAAACGCGATGCGGTAAGGGGAATGTTCCGCCCGGTCTGCAAAGTCGGGAATCGATCATCTTTAGTAACATAGAAGAGATACATCAGTTTCATAGCAATGTGTTTCTACGCGAGTTGGAAAAATACGAGACAATGCCAGAAGACGTGGGACATTGTTTCGTAACGTGGGTGAGTACTGTACGCTTGTCAATTTAATAATCCAATAGAAACTATCAACGTGACTTCTACTATTTCATTCGTTTTTATACGGGGTATATCAAAACAATTTGTTTGTTTGTTTCAAGGCACCTAAATTTGACATGTACGTAACTTATTGTAAAAATAAGCCCGAGAGTAATCAACTGTTAGTGACACACGGTGGAATGTGGTTTGAAGAATTGCAGAGAAAGCATAGAGTAGAACATCCGATCGCTGCCTATCTAATCAAACCTGTACAAAGAATTACTAAATATCAGCTGCTACTTAAGGACTTACAGGTACGTGTAGTACTTTAAGGACCGGTTGTTCCAACTTCTTGGTAAATTAACTGATAGTTAAATCATATCTGTCTAATCTGTTAAATCATGTTTGTCTAAATTGGAGAAAAAACAAGTACAGATATATGATTTAACTATCAATTAACTTACCAAGAAGTTGTAACAACCGACCTTAAGTTTTAGCATTTGTTTCCTTCTACCATAATTGAAGAGATCTCGTGTTGCTTATGCATCGTGTTAAAAATGTTTTGTTTGGCTTTCAGGCTTGTTGCCAAGAAGGACAGGGCGAGATAAAAGACGGATTAGAGGTGATGCTAAATGTGCCTAAAAAAGCTAACGATGCCTTACACTTAAGTCTACTGGAAGGTTGCGACGTTAGGATAGATACACTTGGCGACGTTGTACTGCAAGATTCTTTTACAGTATGGGACCCAAAACAGCTGATCAGGAAAGGGAGAGATCGTCACATATTTCTTTTCGAATTATACCTTCTCTTCAGTAAGGAAGTGAAGGATTCGGCCGGAAAGGTTCGTATGCGATTGTTTTATTATTGATCTTTTTTCATACGGACAGAGGTTGTAGCAAAAAGAAATTAGCAAAAAGAACCGAAATAGAAGAGATTACTCATGCTCGAAAAAGATGGAAAGCACTTGATTTTTATGTCGTAACTTCGTCGAGAGACAGAACATGAGTTGTGTTCATACAGAAAATAACGGTTGAGTGGGTGTTTATTGTCATTGAAATATTATAAATTTATCATAGATTTAAAAGTATATTTTATTATCAGAGACAATCACTCAATGATTGCCATTATGCAACAACCGTTGTTTTTTCTGGAGGCACTCTTTGACTAATATAGTTGACATTTGAATATAATAAACTTTATGCGGACAATAAAAAAATAGGCTAAGAATCTGCTGCAGGATATTAAACGTGATAATTCAAAATAAGAGCAGGAGGATAAAGCTGTTGAACAGACGTTATTCAATATATTTACTTCAATTAATTTGAAGTGTGAATTAGAGAGGGAGTCAATATCATTTAATAAACTCAAAATACTCAGAATTGGTTCGACGTGATAGGTTGGCTACTGATTAAGTGTTCCGCGCACGTTGGGAGTAAAAAAATCCTTCGATATGTGCGCTGCACTGTCGGACAATTCTCTCGCTTAAGTTTAATTGGTTTAAATTATCGCGCCTAATATCTTACGGCCGACTCTTATTGGCTTATCTTTCTTACTTTGATTGCATATCCACAGAATCGATAAATATTTATATTACACGGATATTTGTCATGCTATAGCTGATACTTGTTAAAGGTCAGACGAAATTGATTACATCATTATTAATTCTCCTTTCTGTCTAGGTGAAATATATTTATAAAAATCGCCTCATGACTTCCGAATTGGGTGTAACTGAGCATATCGAAGGCGACGAATGCAAATTTGCGGTGTGGACGGGACGAGCGCCGACCAGTGACACTCGCGTAGTGCTGCGAGCAAATTCAATGGACGCGAAACAGTTATGGGTGAAGAGGTTACGCGAGGTGATACAGGAAACCTACTTCAGCCTGAGTATGCCGAAGAGTCCAGCCAAGAAGAGTTCAAGCCAACGCTCGAGCAGAGACTTGGAGGAATGCGCGTCCTTGGACGACAGTGTGGAGAATCTCGATAGAAATTCATTAGCTTCCTTCGGCTCGACTAACACCACCGATTCTGACAAGGTAAAATATAACCTTTTTTTAACCTTTTCCGCGATGTAACTCGAATACGTTAAAACTATTATTTATACAATTCGTGAGGTATGTATGTTTGGAAATATGATAATTTCACTATTTCTTAGATTTTCCTTATATACATTGCACGTAAAACAAAATTTTATGAAATCTGTGTGATTCTTGTTCTTATAGAATAAGATTAATGAAATTTCGCAATATTAAATTCTGTTAGTCTCATATGTTTAATTGATTTTTGTGTTTGATGTGATGACTGTCGAGGCTAGTCGGGCAACGAGTATGCGGGGTCGAAATCGCATCACTGATCGTTCTCCGCTCAACGTGGTCTATTCTTTTTCGACCATTTTTCTCGTTGCTAAGAAGCTGGCCCGGCTAGTCTCTCATGCTTCTCATGCGACAACGCGTATAGCGTTCGTCTCACCGCAGCACGCGTGCTGATTGGCCAGTACACTGCCGCTAGGTAGAAATCTTTTGTTATTAATATCTCAAAATTAGTTGTTTAAAAAAAAACACCGATTCCATTATTCATCCCGATCTATTCTAGTTATATATTAGCTCTGGTACGATACGAGTCAGACCCCCTGTATGTAACTCTTTTCCTCTTCAATTATATATTTCTGACCGCGTAAAGATAGATTTTTTACTGTCTTAGAGTAACTTTTATCAAACTTCGACAAAACTGATGATTAAAATTTACAACGATCAATGATTAATTAGCAGAATTACTAACAATTTATCCGACCATACATAACTTGTCTGACAATAACTAAAAAGTTAATTCTATCTTAGCATAGTTTTTAATATTAGCAAAATAGGATAAATAATTTGGTTGAAATTGCAGTTTTAAATATATATTGCAAAGAGAGATAGAAAAAAATTTTGTTTTAATAACAAAAAATTCTATATTGCTAGTACTGTCAATTCAGTCTAATCGTCGACTAATTAGACGATTAATTTAACATATCTTTTTCTTTCTCAAATATCTAAAACTAAATTTCTAAACTTTAAATTACCAAAAATTCACAAGCGGTCAGTGGCTTTTGAGGAAAAAGATTGGCGGAGAAAATCCAGAAATGTCCCGAAATGTCTGGGGAAATCCTGAAATACGTGGTCACTGAGCGTCTTTCCCATCTGTCATTTCTCAATCTGAACGTTCTACCTGAGAATCCATTTGCCAGCACTTCCGTAGCGCAGAGGGGCTCGTCTTCTCTCGCGAGAATCCATCCTCAAAACCGTCTTCACTCGAGTAAAGCGCGCTACTGATCCCACTATGGTGCGTGCCTGGTTTTTCGCAAGCTCGCCGCTCGCCCTCTGCGACGGGGATGGTAGGAAGGGCACGGAGGCCGCTACGCGCAGGGTGGGGCGCAACACGAGTTGGGTTGGGTTAGTTATAATCTCGTCACTCGGTCGGTCGGTAGACTACGGTCTGCGATCAGTACGGGTGCGACTCTCGAGTCGGATGGATTCGCCCGGGAATTCGTTGCTGGTGGCCGCGAGTCGTTGAGCGGAGTCGCCCTGACCTTCTTAATCGAGAGAGAGAGAGAGACAGAGCGAACGGGCAGCCACTACCGCGATGGCAGATATAGTACGCGTTGCACCCTCGGGAACGTACTCCGTGAACCCGCTGTCGTTCAAATCTCTACGTATTTCCCTGCTGCGTTCGCGCGTGTGAAATACGTAGCTGTTGCGGAGGCTGTAGAGCCGAATTATCATGACGTCACCGGCCGGAAAACCGGCGACGATCGCCCAAAAGGCGCGCCGTAAAATCTCGCTGCCTTGGTTTCGTCAGGGCTCCGCGACACCGCCGCACGCGACCCTCTCCAGGCAACATACCATCGATACGCCGAGCTCGTTCCAGGCACGACTTCTGCGCCGTCAACCCTCTCTCACCCAGGTACCAGCGTGCCCCAACACTCGTCGGTGGTGGGCCATCATCACCGCTTAATCTCAGACAACTTATCCTGCCCTCCCTATCCCGCGAAACACTTTCCGCTGTTTGAGCGAATTCACAGTGTCGAGACATCGGATCGCGATATACGTCGAGTAAGCTTCCCTGTGATTTAAGAGGCAAAGTAATGAAAGCCATCAGTGCTGAGATTTTGTAACTCGCTATTGGAGTTAACGACAGTTTCATTATCGTTGCGCAGCTTTTGTATGCCGCAGAAAAGTTGCGCAACGATAACGAAACTGTCGTTAACTTCAATAATGAGTTACAGAATCCCAGCACAGGGAAGAGTTCATGAAATCGAAATACCGTTGTAGACGGAATCGTTATAAGTTTCGTCTCATCGCAGCGATAAATCACGCACGCTCTTCCGTCTTTTTTATCGCATAGATTGATGCGGACATCAAAGTTGTGAGAGAGTCAGTCCGACTAGATTATTACTCATATGTTTACGAAAGAGCGCAAATTGAATACGGTGTGACTGTATATCATGGGGTCTCGGAAATATCATAGCGATAACGCGCAATCTGCCTCGCTACTCCCCTTTATCGCGTCTTCCTTCGTGTGCTTTTTTCCCCCTTTCACCTGGTTTACGCGACGCGATATCGCTGAGCATTTGGCACGTGGAAAATTCTATTTCGGGTCGTGGAATGTGTGAAAATCAAGCGAGAATAGGCGGGACCGAGCAAACGACCGGTCCGTTCGCGGCCAGTGTCGACAGCAAACAATTGCGCGTTTACGGCTGCGAGGGACGCTGCTGCTGGTAGTGGCGGAGGTGGTGGTGGTGGTGGTGCTGGTGGAGGTGGTGGTGCAGGTAGTGCGGTAAACTCATGCACACACCCGCGCGCGCGCGCGCGCGCACGTAATGTACACGCACACGCGCGATATTTATAGTAACGTCAAAAGTACCATCGTGTCGTGACATTAGCTATTTTCAAAACGCCGGAATCCGCGTGGGGTCCCCCCAGGAGTGTGTCTCCGCGTAGCAGACGTGCGCGCGAACGACACGTTTCGCGATATCCGACGACGCAGTGACGATCAAGATCACTGGGGCATTAGTAATCCGCTGAATCCTCGCTCCGTCGATCCGCAAATTCAAAGACAATCGGTCGCGCGGACGAGAGAGGTTCTCGCTCTCGGTGAGCGAGAGAGAGGGAAGGGAGGAGAGAGAGAGAGAGAGAGAGAGAGAGAGAGAGAGAGAGGACGATCGTATCGACCCATCTATGCTTGCGTAAGCACGAGAGGGCAGCTCTTCTCTTCCTCTTCGGTTTACTTCCCTGCTTTCGGTACATCCCGCCCGGCTCTCCTCTTCCTCCTCCTCTCCGCCTTACACCACCCGTCACTTTCACGCACGCGCGCACATAGACACATCACACTTCATTAATTATCGTTTCTATATTCACGATTCACGGATATCTAACGTGCGGTACGTCAACTGCGAATTGGTCGCCGCTTTTCAGAAAGAAAAGCCCAAGCTCTCTGTCTCCGATGCATGTTTCTTTTACAGACCGGAGTGGTCGAAATGACGTGGGTCGTCGCCGATCATTTGGCAGCGCCTGGTTCGAAGGAGCTCAGCGTGACGAAGGGCCAGCAGGTCGAAGTGTTGGAGAACGGCAGTACTAATACAGCTAGCGTCTCCACCGGCGAATGGACCTTGGTGCGTTTGCCGCTCACGCCCGGACAGGCCGAGCCTCCCGCGGAGGGTCTGGTGCCCACCAGCGCGTTGAAGCAACCACCGACCGCCTCTTGCAAAACTTCACCGTCCAGAAAAGCGTCCACGCAGCAACAGCAGCAGCAGCAGCAACAGCAGCAACAGCAACACCATCATCATCAATCACATCATCATTCGTACCATCATCAGCAGATTAATCAGGCGATCGTCCAAGCACAGCAGCAAACTGCCGTTACATCGTCAACCACTGTCAATGCGTTACAGCCGACGAGCACCGCAACCATCTCTGTCGCAGCGCCGGTTACGCAGACAACCTCGTTAACCGCGCTGTCGTCTGCGGTGTTAGCGCCGATGTTGTCAGAGGACGCGGGTGAGTGATCCTACGGGAAATCGATTTAGGGATACCGTTTAAAAATCCGGAAGATATTAATTATCGCGCAATTTTTTTCTACAAGTGTCACAATATATGTATTGCAATATTGAGGAACCGTCGAGAAACGGGAAGCCGGTAAACCGCAAATTGCCTGCGAAGCCATATGACGCCATTTCTGTTCGTTCTCGTTATCGGTCTCGATAACCGTGATAATTGGTAGCACGGAGATTATTTCAGGGTAGAGTAATAATGGCACTTTTTTTAATTAACACACGCACACAGAAGCAGCCGGAAGCGGCGACGGTAACGGATCGGCCAGTACAAATTCACCCGGCAATAAGAGGCGAGGTTTCAGCGGGTGAGTACTTTAGAAAGAAAAAGAGAGAATGTGTGTGTGTGTGTTGTTTAATGCTTATCTTGAAAATGTCATACGTGCAACGATAATCACGTACCATGGCGGCGGTTTCTGTTTATAGACGGAAGTGGCTCCCACCGCCTTTACGTAAACTTAGCCAAGGTAAAGTTGAGAAAACCAATACGACCGTGCCGACGTCATCATCTCCTTTGATTGGGCCGTCTTTGAAGAAAAGTAGCTCGGACAAACGCTTTAAATTACCGAGTGGCGTTGAGCACAATCGGCCCGGCAAGGCCGCGTACGAAACCGAGGTCCACGAAGGCGAGGAGGTTGATAAGGAGGAAGAGGGCGAAGAACAGCAAGAGGTCGAGGTGGACGTAGACGTGGATGTGACAGAGAGCGAGGACACAGTGGCGGTCGGCTTACAGGAGCAAAATGGCGGCGAGGACGCTGACGATGACCTGGAACTACCACCGCCGATGAAGCCTATAACAGAGTCGATACTCGTAACCACCGCTAACGGCCCATCCGGGTCTACGATACCGAACGAACTATCTGGAAAACGAGTGAGCATTTTGCGTCCGCTTATTCCTTTAGCGTGCTCGATCTGTTTTTCCCTGCTTGATTAAAACAATCGCTTTCTTCCCCACAGACCGCCGAACGTTCCACGAAGATTCTTGATGGCGCCGCCACGGCTGATCTCTCGGAAATCGAGCAGATTGTCAAGGAAAGGATGGTAAGTCCAATATTTATCCTTATATGTGCGAACTCGTATGTGATATGCGATGTCTGCATCACACGTGTCGTCGACAGGAGCAACACACGGAAAATCAGGAGAGGCATAGTCTCATGCGAACCCCCAACGGAAAATCGTTGAGCAGCGAAGAAGACTATTGCAACGCAACTAATCCGGCCGTTCTCGAGGAATCAGATCCGGAGAGTACCGTGATCGCCAAGCGGCAATTCGTTATCCGCGAACTGGTTGACACCGAGAGAGATTATGTCAATGATTTGAAGCAGATAGTCGAAGGTTACATGGCACTAGTGCGAAATCCCGACAGTGAGATCCCCTTGCCTGAGGATCTGCGCGGTGGAAAAGATAAGATGGTTTTCGGTAACATAGAAGCTATCTACGAGTGGCATAGAGAGTGAGTCACGTGTATCGCCTTTCTCAAGGTTTCTTAACGATAATGCTGCGTTACCGTCGCGAATCACTTACTATGACGAGTTTCCTGCTTTCAGCTTTTTCCTTAAAGCTTTGGAGCGTTGCTTGGAACGTCCTGAAGAACTCGGACCTCTCTTTAAACGTTATGAGCGAAAGTTACACATGTACGTGGTTTATTGTCAAAATAAGCCCGTTTCGGAATACATTGTGTCCGAATATATAGATACTTACTTCGAGGTAATTAGTAAATTGATATGCGACTATGCGTAAAACGGAACTATCTAAACATACAGCCGATATATGTTGTAGGAACTTAGGCAAAAACTCGGACATCGTCTACAACTCTGCGACTTGCTGATCAAGCCTGTACAAAGGATTACAAAATATCAACTTCTTCTACGGGAGGCACTGCGCCTCACTGAACGAACTCAAAGGTTATCGGAAATCGAAGGCCTCAGAGCAGCGGCTCATGTCATGCGAGTTATTCCTAAAGCTGCAAACGATATGATGGACGTTGGCAGATTACAAGGTTTTGACGTGAGTATTGTTCTTTTTCGCTTCCCTGCAGCTCTTTCAATCTACGTAATAAAAGAAAAACGCAGTGTTTTGCCAAATTTGTAACGTTTTATCTTTCAGGGTAAAATAACGGCGCAAGGAAAACTGTTGCTGCACGGCCCGCTTCTAATATCGGAAATATCGAATGTCTCGACGAGAGGAAGAGAATGGCAAGTGTTTCTTTTCGAACAAAATATTATCTTCAGTGAAGCTGTTGGCAAGAAGACTCAGTTCACCAATCCTGCCTACATATATAAAGCACATATACAGGTAAAGTCAGCGCTTTTTCTTCTATCTCCACCCGGACAGAAGAAAAAATTGCGATAACGTCAAAATGATAAGAAAAAAATCACTAAACATTCATTCTTTAATTATGACTCGATTATTTGCTTGTCATCTTGATGTCATTGTAATTTTCCATTCTGCTTCAGTATTATCTGTATCATAGTTGCATTTTATATTGCGGTGTTATTTATTATTTATAATTATGATATACAGGGTGTTCGATAACTTACATAATAGTCATAGTGTAAGAGTAGATTAGGTTAAACTGAACAAAAAATTCCTCTACTATTTTGCGAACAACCACGTAAAATTCTATTAATCAAAGATTTGTGAATGATCACGCGCCATACAGTAGATGAGCTATAATGGCGATGTCTGCTGTATACTTGTATATTAAGTCAAACTGAACAAAAAGGTTCTCTACCATTTTTCAAGTTGCCATCTATATACTTAATTATTAATTAAAGAAGTCTGATATACAGTTGTGCGCGATAATATGCACCAATCTTTTTTAATTAATTAATAAACAAATTTAATTTGTTAATTAATTAATTAATTAACTTTTTTAATTAATAAACAAATTTAATTAATAACTAAACGTTTGAAAAACAGAAATCTTTTTGTTCAATTTGACCTAATATACAAGCATATAACGGCAAACGTCGTTATCACATATATAGCGCGTGATCATTCACAAATCTTTTTGGATTAATAACTCAAAATTTTACGTGATTCGCAAAATGGTAGAGCAATGTTTTGTTCGGTTTGATCTAATCTACTTGTAGACAGCAGCTCCTCCGTGAGTCATTGAACACTCTGTATATATGTTATTAGTTTTGTAATATATATCAATATTTGAGAGGAGAGGGAAATGCCGCACGTGCACTCTATCTCTTATGCAATATACACTGCACTGTGTGTTGTAGGTAAACAAGATGAGTCTAGAAGATTCAAACGATGACCCGGAAAAATTTGTCATTCGATCGACGGATCCTCGGAAGCCGGGACTAGGATTTTCTTGTAGCGTAGCTGAAGAAAGTGGACCGCGCAGGCAGGAATGGGTAGACACGATCACTGCCATCCTGCAAACACAGCGCGATTTCCTGAAGGCGATACAGTCACCGATTGCCTACCAGAAGGAACTTACCAAAGATCCACTGTAAGCGTCTCTCTAACTAACACTGAATTACACTGACTCTCTTTTAATATTCGATCTGTGAATATTCGTTCCGACATATTTTTGTATATTTTATATAAAAAGAGATACAATCGCCATAATAAGCTAGATAACCGTAGTCGTCTCCTAAAGAACCATCGCCTGCTTTCCTCTGCGCCCTTCAGCTCCATTTTTACCTTTGTCGAAAATTAAGTGACTACTTTTCACTGTTTGGATATATCTCTTAACGCCTACATTGTTATTAATACCATGCTAAAGGTGTGCACGTATCCAGTCATCTCTTTCTCACATTCCTTTTTCTGGATTACCGTACGGTAATATCTTGCTTTCGTAGTACAGAGGACACTGTAACAATTCAGTATTCTACTATATTTCCGCGCAGAAGCTTGAAAATGGTTAAGATACTGTAAAAAGAAAAAAAAAAAAGGAAGGAAAACTTACTTTATTGGCTAATAAGAAGTGCAGTTTATATACAGAAAATATATGCAGGGTGTCTCAAAAATGCTGCATTATTTTTTAATGGCCGGACATTATATTATGGCGCGTATCTGAATGCGGTTTTTTCTTAACGACATGCAAGCGAAAAGGACGCGTTGCGTTCCCCTCGTCACCACGCGCGTCGCAAAATTAAATTTTTAGCATTTAAATGTTTGAGAAGAAGAGAATCGTTAAGGAAGTATCACCTTCAGATTTTGATCGATTCGCTCTGTCGTTAAAAAACAATGCGTTGGTTTTGGTACATATATAAATATATAAATATATATCTTTTCATATTCGATAACGTTTCGAACCGATTGTAGAATTCAACTATCGCTCTGTATCAGATACGGAAGTATATACTTTAGTGTTCTAGATCGCACCACGGGCATGCGAGAGTTAATACTCTTTTTATCGTTTAATGGATCAAAATCTACTCACCTGTTCCTTAACGTGTACTACTCTCTAGAACTTGAACTATTGGTCCCAGAGCCTCTAATAACGTGTATTAATCCGTTCCAACGCGCATGCATACACGCGTGCATGTATCGTGTGCACATATATATATATTTATATATATGCATGTGTGTATGTGTGTATATGCACGGGGGCGTATTTTGTTGTTTACGTGCGTTTACGTCTACACATGCGAATAAACGATAATACAAAAAGACGCGCTCCGAGTGCGATGTATTAATAACATATAATATTGAAGACATGCGATATATATATTTATAATAATTTTAATAACGTTTACAAACGCGCGCGCGCGAGAGAGAGAGCTGGACGGAGAACTGGCGTGACAGTAATACTGTGTGTATATATATATATATATATAAAATAATAATGCGCGACACTGGAGGATAGTCCAAAGCAAAGCTACAATTGACCCGCGAATCATAAGAATTTTGTCTAGAATAAAATTGCAAATTAAGATCAAGATCAGAGTGGATTGTGATGTGTGCGTTCCCTTAATCCTCTGTACCTAATATACACGCCCGCCCCGACTAACAAGCTTCTTTTCTTATAATTTTATCAAGAACACAGTACTGCGGGAAGCAAGTCGAAGTGTATCACAACCAACCACTCACCCACGCCCTTGCCGCGCGTCGCTATATTAAGCACCCATTCATCTAATTCTTCGACACGTCTGAATGATCCAAGTTGCTGCGACGTCGACTTCGTATCCCGGCTTAATGCCGAAACTCGTTCCTTCCGAGATCGCCACGAAAAATTTCTCTCACGACAAATTTTTGTACCAGCCATACGTATCGATATATTACTTGAGAGTCGGCAACATTAATATTATAAATGAAGTGATTTTGTCATTTCACACCTCCTCCGGTACGTCTGGTGTCATAGTGATATCGGAAGTGCGCGAGTCTCGACACGTAGTACTGTGTTTTGGATTTCATTTATGATTTGCTGGCGTACAGCCGTGCCACTACGTCTGAACCTGCAAGGGCAAGCGTATCGGTTCCTCCAACGCTGACAGTTCCTGGGTCGACGAACAAAGACAAGAGTAACGAGCTTAGGACGTCAAGTCAGCCGCAGTTGCAACGCTCTCACACCGGAGGATTGGAATGCGTTCAGCCACGTACACCCAGCCCGACCAAAAGTAGACTGAACTTCTTGGAAGGATTTAAGAATACTCTACGCACGCGTTCACCGGTGCGCAACAATTCCATCCCGGTGAGCTTTATCTTGATTGTGAACAAAATGTCACTCTTGCTATTCAGCTGTGGAATTACATATTCGTTATCCATCTGTATCAATTAGAACTCTTGATTGCAGCAAAGGGGCTCTTCCTCTTCTTCTTGATGCCTGTCACTATCTGCTATCTATTGCATCTATTGCATTGCCTTCTGTCGGTGCGACGATAAGTCATACTTCTATTATTAAAAAGAAAAAAAAAGAATTCTCTGTTCGGCGCTGCGCCGTAACAGATCACCGTGTTCCGACGCCACACACATGACCATTGTATTTTCTTAACTTGTACAATAAGATCTTACAGGCATACGTCGTAGAAGAAACAAATACATTACATACGTTGGAGAAGTAATCACTGCGAGAATGAAAGGCAACTCCGTGTAGTGGACTTCTGACTCTACAAACTCTGTTACTGCTTCTCTAACATCTTCCCCGCTACATACTGTATCATATACTATGCCGCTGTTGCTTTCTGACTATCGCCGCCGAAAGCGCTGTAGCTATCACTCCGAAACAATCGTGAAACCAATGCCATCCCTGTAACCATTATACTCTGTACTACTACTATTACTACTACTGCTGCTGTTGCTGCTGCTGCTGCTGCTACTTTATCGAATACCAATGCCATTATTACCGTCGTGTTAATTCCTCTGCATCCGGGATCTGTACGGTTGCTACAACTATCGCTATCGCCGCATTACGAATCGTCTACTATCGATGGTTCATTACGGTCGATCAGTGCTGGGAGCTCTTCCTGGGGTCTTGGGAGCCCGTTGAATTCTTGGTGAACGTGACAAAACAAGGCGTGTGTATGCAATATACAAGTTGTATATGAGAGATACGTTCGCACGTCGAACATACGGAAGAAAAGGAAATATCTGTAACGGGAGGCTTCCTTAGGTCGTTCCAGGTGCTCGCGTAAGATTAGCCGCAGATTGGGGAAAGTTGCACGCCGGGGATGAGCTGGTTGTTTCCCACCTTGACGGTCCAGGTCTGGTGGTGTCCCCCGTGAACACCAAGGACGAACTGTGGATTCCCGCGAGTCTGATCCCAAACTCGGCGAACAGTAGAGTGTGGTCGTTCCGACCGCGAAAAGTCGATCTGACGAAGAGTTATGCCACGACCGATTCTCGCGAGTCCTCGAGGGCGACGGCGACAATGACAATGACGCCTGAGGAGAAAATGCCGGCTATCTTGAGCAGTCCAACGTCAATTCGTGCAGTTGCCGGGGAAGTCATCAGACTACCCGTCGAGACGCAAAATGCGGACGGTGCGATCGTCACTTGGAGGAGAGAAGGTGAGGATCGGTGCTTAAGGGAGAGCGACCGATACCAATTCCAACAGAGCGCGAGCTTCGTGTACTTACAAATCACCGGCTGCCGGGCTTCGGACTCTGGAATATATCACTGTCACGTCAAGTGCGACACGGGTTTCTGTTCTGCGAAGATTTCACTTTCCGTCATAGGTATGTAGACTGAAAGAGAGGATCCGATGTAACGCATAAAAAATTTGATAGAATTACATAAGACAAATCTATGTAACTAAGTCGTGTTTTGTCCGAAGATAAATTTTAATACTGATCAATAAAGAACGTTTTGATAAATACTGGGAGTGATTATATCTATGAACTCATCAGAGTTCCAGAAATTTGGGATTTTATCCATTGTTCCATATTATGTCTAGTATATTTGTGATTGTCTTTTGCTTGGTTATTTTAAAGACTTTTGTAGGATTATTCTAGAAATATCAAAATAATAATAAGGTTTATTGCAATTTGTTGTAAAATTATAGCAATTCACGTGCAATTTGTCTAGAAAGCAGTGATTGAAGCACAAACATTGATCGCGGTGTGCACATCAGAATTCGAGAATCCAAATACAACTTGCGAAGTGACCAATGGAAATATTCCAAATCAAAACAATATTCTACCGATGTGACAAATGATCCAAATCGAAATTTTAATTATCATTTTGGTACTTCTAGAATAACGTTATGGTCCCGTAAGGCCTTCAAAGTGATTGAAACAAAGACACTAACAAAAACATAAATGGAATAATAGATAAAATCTCAAATTTCTGGAATCCTGGTGAATTCGCAGACGTAATTTTCACTTTCAGCACTTATTGAAACATTCTTTATCGATTGGTACTACAATTTATTTATATGATTCCAGACAAAGGAGAACGGTTTTTGTTGTTGTGTGTGTGTGTCAGATGAATATTTAATCGTTAAAAGTAAATTAAAAAAGTAGAGGGTCTTTTAGAGCAAGTGTTGGGGAGAAGTACACATAAAATGAAATATTTATTTTAAAATTTGAAGAAAATATTTGAAACAATTAACAAAAACATTTGAATAAATTAACAAACAAAAAAAATTATAAAATAAATTTTATTGTATTTATGCATATTTCCTCTCAACGCTTGCTGTAAAAGGCCCTCAATTTTTTTAGTTTAGATTGTACACCATAGAATATTTTCTAAGTTTTTTTATCATTAAAAGTAAGTTACGACGTAAAACCAAAGAAATTGATAATTTTTCTATATAAACTGAAATATGAAAAATTGAAATTTCCGATAGAAATGATAAGGTTAGATAAAATCATATAATATTTCAATGAGAGTCCAGCCATAAAATTCCATTTCCACGAGATGTTAATCTAGAGGCGCATGTACAAAGTCTGAGATACAAGAATCTGAGATCTCGATACTGTGAAAAAATATAACCAAAACTGATTGACAATACTATCACAAGTAACAACTCTAATTGAGAAGAAGGCTCCTGGATACTATGACTATGTTGGATTGTGACGTCCGAAGCGAGAAATATGACACGCTAAAAATTTTTGCATACCATTTTCAAATAAAAAATATTTGATTGAATAAACAGATCAAATCGTTTAAACATACAACATACTCCGAAAATTATCTTTTTCCTTTCACAGTTAATAAATAGCTGCAAAATTAACGTGACATAATAATGAGTAAAAATAAGTTAAGGAAAAAGAATGCTTGTCACATTAATTTTACGACTATTTATTAACTGTCAAGGGAAAAGAATAGTTTGTGGATTATTTTGCAAGTATGTTTAAGCGATCTGGGCTGTTTTCTCATTCAAATACCTTTTTATTTGGAAATGGCAGGTAAGAATTTTGGGTATGCGTTTTCTCGCTTCTAAATTACTAGTGAATTTATTAGTCCTAATAAAATTTTTACCGGTTAGAGTTAACTAAAACTTTAACTAATTACTAATATAAAATTATTGATATGCGTGTTAAATGATCAGTGTAAAAACGCCCAGTCTTGTTATATTTCGGGGGTCACAAGTCGTAATATAGTATCAAACTATTGTATTTCAGGTGGCAGGAGCAATACAATGGTGCGCGTTTTGGGATCTTCGCGAGTAGAGATCGACTGGGAGAAACGGGAGATTGGTGGCACGTCGTGCAGTATAGAATGTAGAACTTTACCCTTGCAGCAATGGGTGGCAGTGTTGAAACAGGCTAACGAGCCGCCTTCTGTGCTGGACATGCCACCGGATGCTTCGTACAGCTTCCGGGTGGTAGGAGACGGCGGGAGAATGACCTCGCCGTCAAGTGTGGTAACGCTATCGAGATTGGACACAGACGGTGGTGCGGAATGGGAAGCCAAGCAATTCGTCGGCAGGTACTTAGAGTTGGACGAGCTTGGCAGCGGCAGATTCGGCACGGTCCGTCGCGCCAAGGACCGCGGTACCGGCCAAGAAGTTGCCCTTAAGCAAACCCCGCGACACAAGCAATCAAGATCGCTGACGCGCGCGGAATATGATCTCCTGGCCGCCGCTCATCACGTCAACATCGTTCGGGCGTTCGCCCTATTCGAGAACGCGCCCCGACCAGGCGTGGACACCATTGTCTTGGAACTGTACGGTTCGCTAGATGCATCCATAATAAGGAAACGCTATTTTGCTAATGGAGTTTATTTCTTTCAGGGTCAAAGGTCCAACATTGTTCGCGTATTTGAGCGAAAAGACGGAGTACACGGAGGCGACAGCGGCGCGATATACCGGCCAGTTGTTGTCAGCGCTGCATTGGCTGCACTGTCGCGATAGAGCACACTTGGACGTAAAACCGGAAAACATTCTTGTCGACCAAGAGGCAGACGTCGTGAAGGTGATAGATCTGGGAGAGGCGGTGAGAGCTCCTGTCGACGAGGTTGTACCACCTAGTGATCTCGAATTCGCGGCACCAGAATCGGTGTTGGGTAGACCGACCGGTCCTTACACGGACATGTGGGCTATCGGGGTTTTTATTTACGTTCTGCTAAGGTATTTCTCAGATTGCTCGTATTTTAAGAAATTTTTCTTTTTCTTAATTTTTTTAACTATAATTTATTTTTATTAGTGTTTTGCTTATTTTAGAGCTTTTCGCTACTCGCTATCTAGCCATCTTGATTTATGTGATGCCAAAAGCGAGAAAATGCTTAATCTTTCGAGCGCACATCTAGTCATTTTGATGCGATTTTTTTTTTAGCGAAATTATTTGAAGTATGTAGTAGTTTTTGAACGTAATATACTGTATTTCGAAAAGCTTATTTCCATAAAAGCAAAAATTTTATGGATTATAGGCAAAAAAGTGCTTTTTTTCAACAAGGATTAATGATTAATGATTAATGATTAATTTCAATCATAATTTTTGCTTTGAATAATGTTTTTTCTCAAAACTGACAATATTTCACTCTAAAATGTCACTCTAACTTCAAAAAGAATCTCTATCTTTTTTTTTTTTATAAAAGTGCATACTTTTCAAGATATGCATTTGAAAAAATTCAATTGGATCAATTTGACTTGTTATGCGTTCTATGGAAGTTTACAAAAACGAGGGGAAAGGGGGTGCGTTCGAAAGTACCTGTAAAAGTTCCTGTAAAATCGCAATTTGTAAAGTTTGTAAAATAGTTCGAACTTTTTTCCTTAGTTCTAATCGATAAATGATAAAATCTGACAAAATGAAAAAAGATAGGTTAAAAAAGATAGGTAAAAAAAGATAGATTAAAAAGATAGTTTGCATGTTACATTAATTTTACGATAAATTATTGATTGTTAAAACAAAAGGAAAGCATTTGAACTATTTTACAAATATGCCCGATCGATTGCAAATGTCATTTTATGAGCAATTTTTTCCATGAATTTTGCAAGAATTTTTATCGTGTATTTTCTAACTCCACGTCATCAATCGGAAAAGACCAGGAGCATTAAAGGGATGCTGAAGTTGATGACAAACTCTCGAACAATGTCGATGACGCAGAAATAATCGTTACTAATACAATCACGCTATCTTTTTCGTATTTATTGTACATACAGAACTTAAAAGTGTGTTGCTTTGTTTCATATAAGCGGAAAACTTTTAACCACGCACATATGTAGAAATCTTTCTGCAAACTTTTCAGATATTCTTAAGCTTTTGAATTTAGATGCAAAAAGGTGCAGCAATGTTCTTTACAATTTTTCTATTTAGAGCACCCATATTTTGGATATGTACAAGTTGCGGAACTCTTGAATTAGGCAAATATTACGCTGACAGCTTGAAATTTTACATTAAAAATTTCTTTTTTCGTTTTTATCACATATTGCGCAATGTTCCTATTTATTTTTACACGTACTTTCATTGCATAAAAGTATTTGTAATTCTGTATAACTAATACGACGTAAACTTTGCAAAAAATGTCAGTATTCTGTCGGTAAAGTTTTCAGCTTCAGTATTCCCTTAACATCTTCAAATATTGATATCACTTGAATATTTTTACTTAACATTTTACAGATATTTCCACATCTAATTTTTCCACATGTTACAGAAATGCTTTAAAAACATTGACTTGTCAAAATTGTTCATAATAATGTTAATACGTACAATGTTAAAAACTATATATTAGAAAATATTATACGCTATTAAATATTGTTACAATAACATTCTATCAATCCTTTTTTGTGTGCTCATTGGTTCATTAAACTTTATTTATAGTTGAATTTTAATTTCCATTGATTTTATTGATAATTTAAAGTATTAATTAGTTTTTTTCTCTATAATTATATTTCTTTAATTCTTTAATTATGTATCAAATTTCTCATACCTTTTATTTTATTAACCATTTTATATGTTCCAGTGGATTATCACCTTTCTTGGACGACTCCGTAGAGGAAACCACCGCTAATATACTCAAATGTGACTTCTGTTTTCCTGATGAATACTTCGAGATGATATCTAGCGACGCAAAAGAGCTTCTCAGGAGATTATTGTGTTTGCATGGTGAGGATCGAGTAAACGCGGAAGTTTGTCTCGCCTCAACGTGGTTAAAGGTAACTTGCACTTTTTACTTAAAATCTTAATAATTCCAATTATTCTCTTAAATATTGTAGTAATTATCAGGATTTCGTGCATTAATCTTTTTTAACTAACAAGGGGAACACCAGATGACGGCCCCGAGGATTTTGTTGCGCTTTTTACAGGCTATTTTTGGGCGAAAAAAACGACATGTATTCGGCCGTTCCAACCAATGGGCCATAGTTTCGAAGAAATCGATTTTTAAAAATGACTAGTCGGTCGCGGCACACTTGATATGTTCGACCGTCGACTATTGAACAGCAGCAGCGGTAACGCAATAGGTAAGACGTTGGCTACACAGTAGGTTGCGTGCATGGACGTAGTATACATGGACCTCGCATACGGCCAGAAAAGTGAAGCCAACATGTAGAAAGAGACCATGAACATAATATACATAGACTCCGCATACAGTTAAAAAAGAGAAGCCAATATGTACAGCTCCTCTATTCTCTGTCTCTTTTTGTACAGACAAAGTGTGCAATAAGATTTAAGTAAGACTTGCCAGTCTAGTCGGGGTGTTGTTGCGCTCTATAATATTATGGAAACGAGAAATGGATGCACGCGCAACAAAAAAGTGACAAAATAGGAAGAAAACAATAGCTCCTCTATTCTCGCTCTCTTTCTAGATGTTGGTTTCACTCTATTAGAGACGACAGAACATAGGGCATTCGGAGTCCATATATACTATGTCCATGGTTGCGTGTTCAAATCTTGTCCCGTGCATTGTTTTTATTAAAAATTTGTTCTTATCTGTAATTATTTATATTATTGTAGATATACACGAAAATGATTATTTAATTATATATATTTTTTTGTAAATGAAATATTTAAATTTTTAAATAATTATTGTATATAATTTGAAAAATCTGTATAAATAAATATTATTATTTTTATAAATTTAATTTTAATTTAATGTTATTAATTTTTATTATTTTTTTATTGTATTGAAAGTTTATAAATTTTCAAATTAGTATATAGTTTATTCTCTTATTTGTTGTCTTATTTTTCTTTTTCTCCCTATCAATCATGCAATGATAAACAAAGATTGTGAAACTTGTGCCTACATGTCATTCTTTAATGTCATTCTTTAATGTCGATATTATTTGAGAAAATTATTAGAAAATTTTTCATCATGTCGCTCGTGGTCACTCACGTTTTTATTACATTTTTATTTATGTGTCCATATAAATAATAACGACAACGACGACGGTAATAATAATTATTCCATACATGAATATTTAATTATTTACTAATTTGTAAATTTATAAAATTTTATTAGAATCAAACAGTAATAAAAATTAATAACATTAAATTAAAATGAAATTTGTAAGGATAATAATATTTCTTTACTCAGAGTTTTCAAATTATTACAATAATTATTTAAAAATTTTAAAATTTCATTTACAAGAAAAATATATTAATATAATTAAATAAATAATCTTTTTCGTATATATCTACAATAATATAAATAATTACAGATAAGAACAAATTTTTAATAAAAAAAAATATACGAGACGAGATTTGAATACGCAACCTACTGTGTACGAAGCTAACGTCTTACCTATTGCGTCTTACCGCTGTTACTGTTCAATAGTGACGATCGAACATATCAAGTGTGCTGCAGCCTAAAGTCATTTTTAAAAATGGATTTCTTCGAAACTATGGCCCATTGGCTGAAACGGCCGGACATGTGTCGTTTTTTTCGCTCAAGAACAGCCTGTAAAAAGCGCATCAAAATCCCCAGAGCAGTCACCTAATGTTCCCCTTATAAATTAAGTTTAAAATTAATGACTTATAAAATATTAACTCGGTTAACACTAGAATGTCCGATAGAATTATTTTGACTCCTTTAAGGTTTTCTTGTCGCTATTCCTATTTCTCGTCGTTAGGAAAAAATCTTGTGATTTTTAATTATTTTTAAAATAGAACACGCTGAAAGAATAAAAGAAAAGGTCGATAATATTGTAAGAAAGTATTTTATGATTTATATATATATATATAAATCATAAAATACTTTCTTACAATATTATCGACCTTTTCTTTTATTCTTTCAGCGTGTTCTATTTTAAAAATAATTAAAAATCACAAGATTTTTTCCTAACGACGAGAAATAGGAATAGCGACAAGAAAACCTTAAAGGAGTCAAAATAATTCTATCGGACATTCTAGTGTTAACCG